ACAAACGACGGTGTCCTACTGAGTGTTCATGGCCGCAAGTTTCCATGGGCTCCCCAAGAAGCTGAAAGCCGATTCGGCGGATTCACTGGCAAGCAACATCGTTTCAGTTCAAGAGCAAAACTTAGTTGGTCCTCAGTATCAAAGAAAACCTTGGGGGATGGTTGTTCTCGGGCCCTGAGAACCAGCCAGTTCAAGTGTCATTGGACAGAGCGAGGTCCAAGCAAAACGCCAGCTGCTCATGGGCCGTTCCGGAAAACCGCCTCAAGCCCTCCTGGGGTTCTTCGACTTGGGGATCAACCAAAACGCACGGGGGATGCGTGACAAATCACCCTTCAACCGCCGGCTTGCATGAGACTTTTAATCCAAAAGCAATTCTTTGATACCAAGCAAACACGCTAACGCGTGTTTGGAGCCCGTATAGTACAAGCACGGGATTCTGCGCGACAAACGACCATGGATTCAGTCAGGATGCCAGCAGAGCAAAGTCGAAATCAGATGTCACCTCCTTGTCGTATGACGGATGCGTATAGACATTTGCGACTCTTCGCTCCACGGAGATTCCGCTTGCAGCCTCATCCTCGGAATACTGCTTCCAGTCCCCGGCAACCACCCGCAACCTCCGCATCTTGCACACATTCCTCGGCTCGCACAACCTCCGCTCTCCGAGTTGAACGCTTGATGGGAAGCTGCCAAACGGCAACAAGTGCTGCTCGGTCCCTCCGATTGACCATGCTGTATGTTCGGAGATGTCTTCCCCCCAAAGGCGATGTTTGCCTCACGTTGCGGAGATGCTGTTCCCATGTTGCCTCGTGACCCAGCTTCGATGTGTGTTGGCCTGCTTTTGCTCCATCTGCCCCGAAACCTCCATTTGCTTAAGTCCCTGGAAAAAAGTATAATAATTCCAGTAGTGATAGATTCCCTTTAAAACCAACAGGGAAAAAAACAAATCTTCACCAAATGGAAAGAAACTGGTTCACAGAAGTGCCCCCCGCGTTCCGCTCCGAGCGACATGCCCTGCACGCAGTGCGCCGCGGTGAGAGCCCAGCCGGGAGCGATCAGCGTGGCGCCGCAGAAGGGCGTGGCAGGGTCGGTGGCCTGCCGGGTGCCCCTGGGAGGCGCAAGGATGCCCCTTGGCAGAGGAAATACCCTCCCACCAACTAACATGGAAGTGCAAAAGGGCCCTTTCCGAGAGGAAAGTAGTCTTTCTGCAGGGGTCTGTGCACTTCCATGTTAGCTGGCAGAGGACATATCTATGTTGTTTTGCTTGCAAACATCTCAAGACTAATAATGAAGAGTTCGGTCAAAATGTTCAGCGGATGTTCTTCTGAAAAGCGAAACAACTTCAAGATGGTCGATAAAAAGGTCTTCAGGTTCTGCGCAGTGCATGATTATAGAGTTAGGCCCAGTTCCTGGAGATTCATTCTCCATGAATTTCCTGGTAGTTCTCGGCTTTGACTTGCTTTTCGTAAATCTCGATGTCTTTTTCGTGAAGTCGCCTAAAACTACTAAAGCTTCTATATTTTTGTGAGATTTTCAGAATTGGTACGGTTTCACGTTTTCCCCGCCCAGAATTACCCGCAAAACGCCCGCAAAAAGCCCGCAAACGCCCGCAAAACCCCGCAAACGCCCGCAAATCAGAAAAAGACGCTTTTTGGGCTCGGGGGTCGCGCAAAACTCCTAGAAACCACTTAGAACGCCCAGCACGCCCAAAACTACCAGGAAACTAAAACGCCTAGGAAAAGGCCGGAGAATGAATCTCCAGGTTATAGAATATATAGACTTTATTGCTTGCTTCACGTTGAGTCACTGGCACAACGTAAAATGCATCCTAAGTCTAGAGTTAGAATATAGGAGAGGTCTTCACCGTGGTCAGGGCTTAGGGTGGCCTTTCAGCTTGCTAGGTCCTGGGGGGAAGCAAACAAATCATCGCGACTCTTAGTATTGTGGCGAAAAACTTTGCGTTTTTTGCAGCCGGCCCAGTTAAAATGAACAGAACCGACAAACTACAAAACCAAAAAACTGGCCAAGAACAGTGACGTAATTAGACTTGGACTGAAACCAGTACCATCCATGCTCAACGAACGAAACCACACACATAGGGTTGCCCTTAAGGGGTGCAACCAAGAAACCAAGCTGCAATGTGGCTAGCATTTTCCCAAGCACTTCTGGTTGTCAAGCGTGTTGGAAAGCTTGGGGGGCGCGCACTATATTGGCAACACACCTCCCCCAAGCTTTCTCATTGAATATCCTCAGGCTCAACTGGGCTCAAGCAAACCCTTTTGCGGGTGCCCCATGATCCCATAAGAACCTGGTTCACCAATCCCCTGCTTGAGTTTGCTCCATGCCAGCCCCATTTTGAAGGTCAGCCGTCATTTTCGGCGGAACACCCCCTATCAATTTGTGAGGTTGATTACTCCGGGGGTCACATTGATTAAGCTGGATTTGCCCCTCTTCTGTCCACCCTGTAAGTCTTTGAATAGGCTTGTGGACAACCCCGCCATCGGCGACTTGGGTGTTTCTCAAAATAGCGGTCCTCTTTTTGGATGCTTCTATTTTTGAAACCAGCGTTTCAAGTCAAGCCACTTGGAAACTAACAGGAAACTAACCACCTGAAGGGTATCGACGTGGGTGTTTCTCAAAATAGACTTTTGGGATGCTTAACATGGAAAACCAACAGGAAACCAATCATCTGAAAAATATATATCTCATTTTGAGAAACTCCCACTTGGCCACGGGTCAAAACCCCGGTTAGCCCCCAGTGAACATCCCAATTCAACGACTAAAATAGGTTCTAAAATGGGTGGTGAATTCACCCACCACAAAATCCACTAAAATAAAGCCTAAAACGGGTGGTGCACCTACCCCCAAAGTGGGATCCCAAAACGGTTTTGACAACCACAGCCACTTGGCTCTGCTCTCGCGGAGCCTTGCGCTGGGAGCGGAGGCTTGCCTGCCATCGCCACACGCATTGTCCGGCATCACGGCCGTGCACGATGCCCGCGCGAGCGCTCCTCGAAAGAAGAGGCCCCCGGCCCAAGCGGACCCACCATAGCGACACCCTCACCCTCAGCTAGTTACATGGCTGTGGGTCAAAAATAGTTGGTAACCCCAAAATGGACGCCTGGCAAATGCAAACATGGACCAAAATCTGCGGTCCAATTCCTGGTGGCTTAATTTTGACCCATGCCCACATGGCGGTTGAAAGGCCTGCCAAGGAAATTTCGGGAACCCCTCCAAATCCGCACTGTGATGGGCCCAGCTCCAATCCCGAAGGGAAAGAGAGCCAATCACCAGGGCACGGCCTAAGAGACTCCCGTTTCACAGGTCTTTGGGTCTCCTTCCTCAAAATGCTTCGCCTCAAAGGTACCAAAAAATCCAACTTCTGGGGTCTATCGTCTACCCGCGTTTGCGTGTGAAACCGACACACATCTTTGGTGAAGCGGAACCCACTGAAAAAAAGGTGCTCGAACGAGGGGCTTCCTATAGTTCTGGCACCCTTTGCGTCCAAAACCAACCCAAGGCTGCCCCCCACATTCTAGGATGGTTTCCACTATACCCCCAAACCACTACCCCCACTGAAAATCTAGGAGTATACAGTGTACATAGTGGTTGCCCTCCCTCCAACAATCACGGAAGCTGACAAGAGGGTTTTGGAAGACTACTTTGCTTTCGGCGGAGCCCCCTATCCACTTCCATGTTTGTTGGAAAGAGGGTATTTTGTGGTTGTATAGTGGTGATATAGATATGTATGTATATACCCCATGTTTCCCTTAAACAGCTGCTTCCATCTTGGACGACATGGCTTTTCCCGGGCCAACGTTCCGTATCTCCTCCCCAGTCTGCCGCACTCGGCCGCCGGCGCCGCCGGCCCGCGCAAATGGGCTTCCGCAAGGCTCAGGACCACGGACACCCAAGCCATGGCCGCCATCCCTTCAGACACAGAAAAATGATCCAAAAGCACCGTGCTGTACGGTCTTAGACCATCCCAAAAACACCGTGCTGTGGGGTCTTTGCTGACCAAAGACCGTCGGCATGGTGCTGGGAGCCAGGTGAAACCAAGAGTTTTCAGAGAAGCTCTGGCATGCTCAGAGGTGCTCTGAACGATTGAAGCTGCGTTCAGCTGGCACATGACTGAACAATCCCTCTTCGTGTGGCACTGGTTGAAGCTCAGCTGGCCGCGGGCAAATGGCAACTTGATGCGCAATTTGCACCAGCTGTCCAGCACTGTCCGCAAGTCCGCAAGTCCGCCATTCATGACAGGTTAGGAAATGCTGGCTGCGTAACTTACAACTTGTATGTGATCTTATTACATGCCTGTAGCTGGGCGGTCCGTTTTCAGAGTTTTAGTTGGTTGAGGGCTTTGACTTCTAGTGGGTGAAAATGGGAACCTAACCACTGAATCAACGAAGACAACCCAAAACAAACTCGGGAAATGGATGGCTGGTTACTGCTTTCGGGCAGAATTCCGCGCGGAACCTTGAAGAATCAGAGGAGTGTCTTTTGCCTTTTGGGTTTGGGCGTTCAAGTTGAAAACTCCAAGCAACCCAAAGCGGGCCCCAAAGCGGACCCTCGAAGGGAACCCTTTTGACCGTCCAATAAAAAACTGCCCCACACCAAGCGCACCCGTTTTGGCCGTTGCGTTTCGGTAACTGAGATAGGCAAGTGGCCTCTTGTGCATGGTCATGCCCTAAGTGCGTTCAACTCAAGAGCCGACAAAAAGACGGTTGGCTCTCCCAAAGATTGCGCCGCCAAAGTTGGGTCTCCGAAGAACCGGCCACGACTCAGCTTCCCTCTTGGTGTTTTGGATAGACTAAGGTGTTCCCAGGGTGGTGGTCCATGTGCCCACGGAAACTCCCAAAAAAAACGGCTTCTCCCCCACCAAAAACATAAAAACAGGGCTCACATCCAAATCCAAAACCCAAGCCGCCAAGCAAAGGGTAACCTGAACGACCGGTTTGAACATGGTTCGAAGCTTGTTTCTCAGCAGCTGGGTGGCAGGCCCTGTCCAGCATCGGCTCCTTCGCACTCTGCCCATGCACGCGCAAGGCTCAAAAAAAACAGTGGAACGCTTGGCTCAGGACTTCCATTTGCTGGAGCCCCCGGGGAAAAATAGAAATATCCGCCGACATTGCGAGGCGTGTCGGATACCAAAGGAAGGATAGATGATAACCACCCCTAACCCCCCCCCCGCCCGAGTGTAGGGGGGAGGGGGTCCCCCATGTACCGCGCGGTGATTTGATGAATGTAGTCTTCGGGGGAGCCGGTGTCGCAAAACAGGGGTCCCAGGCTCGAATCGTGGTCAAAGGCCAATAGGGGCCAATAGCACCTAATAGTGCCCGTTGTTGGGCCCTTGCTGGGAGATTCCTTTTCTTGGGGCCTTGGCAACCATAGGAGATCTGTCACGTTTAGGTGGCGAAAGTGCCAGCACCGTAATACTTCCCAATAGCAAAACACCGCATCTTAACTTTTGCTTCGGGCATTTAGGTTTGGGCAGGTGCTGGTCGGTTTTTTGCAGGGCGAGGCTTTCTGCGTTGATTTCCGGTCGGTTCCTCCAAGTTATAAGAGAGGGTTCGCTAGTTGGAGCAACTCAGATGCATCTGCAGAGCCGGTTGCTGCGCGACACATTGATGTCAATTGACACCTCCTTGTGTTCGAAGTCTCCAGCGCCCTTCTAGCGGCTGATTCCATCGTTCTTTTCGCCCATCGTTCTTTTCAAAAACCCGCCGTTTTCGCTGGGTTTCCGGAGGTTCTAGAAAAAAGCATGTTTTGGAAAGAATGGAAATGGAAGGTAGCAAGGTAGCCTCAGAGCCCGGGCCTTTTGGTGCTGGTGGGGGGCATGCGGGGGGCGCCTACGTGGACGGGGAGATGAAGGCGGGGGCCAGCGCGCCCCTGCCGGCTCTTTGCTTTGGGTTTCCTGCCTCCTTTTGCCGGAAATCTGGAAAAACTCTGTGTTTGTTGACTTCCCCCTTGCGAAAACGCTGGGAAAACCGTGTCTTTTTGCGGGAAATACTGGGGAGCAAAGGGGAAATGCAAGGAAGTGCAGGGAAATGAGGGGAGGAAATAGGAAGTCGGCATGACAGGAAAGCAACGGGAAATGAAAGGGAAACAAAGGGGAACTGAAAGGGACATGAAAGGGACAAAGGACAAGGAAACCAATCGGCACGACGGGAGATGTTGGGAAATGACTCGCGACGAAAGAACGGGACATACATGAAAAAATGAAGCGGACATACCGAGAAAATGACAGGGACATGAAGGGGGAGTTGAAAGGAATGGAAGGGACATGACCAGGACGTCATGGGAAACGTGAAAACATGACGGGGAAATCAAGGGGAAAGCCAGTAGTAAGCACACAGTTCAGGGTCATGAAGGGGCAGAGCTCGCAACTCAGGGGGGACGTGACGCTGCAATGCAGAGAGAGAGAGAGAGACACAGGGAGAGAGCGGGAGGGGGAGAGAGAGAGAGAGAGAGAGACAGAGAGAGAGAGAGAGAGAGAAAGACACAGAGAGCGAGAAAGAGAGAGAGAGAGAGAGGGAGACAGAGACAGAGCCAGAGTCAGAGAAAGAGACAGAGAAAGAGACAGAGAAAGAGACAGAGAGAGAGACACAGAAAGACAGAGAGAGAGAGAGAGACTAGGTTTTTGAGTAGAGAGGTAAGAATAAGGGTACCCTTTTTTCTGCTGGGGCGTGGACAGGAAGAAGACAGGGAGACAGACAGAGACAGAGAAACAGATAGAGAGAGAGAGAGAGAGAGAGACAGAGAGAGAGAGAGATAGAGAGAGACAGAGCGAGGGAGATTGCGGAGAGAGCGGCTTGGGGGGATGGGGAGGATGGGGAGCAGAGGGAGGGAGAGAGGACGACAGAACACACGGGGGAGGAGACAAGAGAGAGAGGAAGCAGGAGAAAACGGAGAGGACAATGTCGGCGGACTGAGCCGGAGGCTCTAAAGTTTCCAGTGATAGATTCCCATTGAAACCAAAATGGGAAAAAAAAGCAACCGGAAGCTTCAGGGGGTTGACCATCTTGAGAGAATCCCACCAAACAAAGGCAAAGAACCACCAAGGCTAAATTCCCTTTACCCATGGTCTTCTTATCACTGTTGGATGATTGAAAGGCATAGAATTGGAAAAGGCCCTGGGTAAATTGGAAAGACTAAGGGTCCAGGTTCCTAGGGGGAACGTCTTCAGTGGCCATAGCTTGGTCCGACTCCCTCAGGGCAAACACCCTTGTGGGTGTCTGCCATCACGGGCCTGATCAAACTCGTCTTCAGAACAGTCAAGGGAAACTCAACCATATTATAGGTGTCCTTTTTAGGTTAGTTTGGCTAAAAATAGATGGATTCCACTGGTTTAGGTGGGGTTTTATCCCATTTACCAGGGCCATGTTTTTTTTTTTCCAAAAGGCCACCTACGATTGCAACCGCCATCCACACTTCTCCAGACAGCCACATCTCGTGGAACATACCCTCCCCTCCCGGAAGGAGTCTCAGCGTGGAGCGCGATACAAAACCAACGGGATCAAATTGTTGTCTCTGTTTGTGCGCGAGTGTGCGTGTCTGACATTCAAAGGATTTCCCCTAGCTTGCGGGGTGTCCCCCATTCCATGTATAAGGGGAGGAAGGAAATCGGCACAAAATCAAATTGCCATATTTCTAGCTTCTCCCACCTGATTTGCCATAGCTTCACAAGCCTTTCAAGCTTTCCCATTTCCAGCGCGTCATGAGCCGCTCAGTCAAAAGTGGGATTGCCCCAAAGGAAAGGAAAAAACACACACGCGTGATCATGTCCCGAGCTGATCAATGGCATACAACAATGGTCGAATGGTTTCTCCAAGAATAGATTGGACACTCCGAACTTTTACCATCTGACAAATGTTGGTTTTCTGGATTTCTGCAAACATGAATTATCTGCTTTGGAATGGTGCGAATCAACAAGAGAAAGTCAAATGAAACCTGCCCATTCGGGGGTCCTGATCTCCATTTCAAACATGGGAGCTTTGCCTTGCTTCTCAACAAACATGGGCTAGGTCCTCCAGTAGAGAGGTTACAGTAAGGGTACCAGCTTTTTTCTGCAGTCTATTTTAGTAGGGGAACCCTCCCCCCAAAACGGGTAAAAGGGCACCCGGCTGGGGACCTAGTCGGAGCTTGTCTTTGATGCCCTTGTGATGCGCTCAAAAGGCTGTCCTCCTCTTCGCGAGGCTGGCGTGAGCCTGTTGCAAGGCTGGTCCCCTCTGGCACTTGTGAATTTTTTGACCTGATTGGGTGTTCGGCCCAGGTAGCAAGTTGTAACCTACTGTGGTTGCGAAATCCAATTCGCAGCTTTGATGGTGTTTGGAGGACACCCTTGGCCGTTTTGGACGCCCGGGCTCTCAAAACCAACTCGTTCAGCCATGGCGGACACCCCTTTGACGGGGTGTGTCCAAAGGTAGGGGGACCCTAAAACTGCATATGGCGTCTTTTGTTTGGGCTCAAACAACTCTAAAGGCTAATTTATTGTATGCCCATGTGTTTGTCGAACAACTCGCATTTACGCTTTGAATGACACATCCGATTCAATCCATCCCCTAAACCTTGCCCTGCCGGGCACAACGCCTGTCCAAAACGCTGCACTGATCCACACGCTTGTTGGCTCGCAAGGCCTGCAACTTGTCTTCTTGCCAAGGGGGTCTTCCTCATTCCAAAAAAAGAAGGAAAAAACACGCATCTGATTCACGCCTGCCTCCGCTCCGAACTGATGTGTCCAGCTTTCTACTTGGTTGCCACAAAGCACCTATACATGAAGGGCGCTTCCTGGCTGTTGGAGGCATGGATGCCTACCATAAGCTTGCGCAGTAGCTACCAAAAGCTGTTTTAAAGCTGCCCTCCATAAACCTGGATTTGTTGTTGAACAGAGTCTCTATATTGCCAGGTGTGGCTCAAACAACATGGAATCAGCCCTTTCATGGGTTGCCCTGGTAAAATGGAAACGAAAACCCTGCGGCCCGTATCCCAAAAATCTCTGAGCTGGGCTGTCTGTGTTCAGACCTGCTAACAGCTCTCGACGTGCGGGTGAAACTCGGAAACCCAATCAAGCGAAACCAACCAAAAACCCAAAATCCTCCGGAAACTATCAAACAAAACCCGCCAAAAGCTAAAAACATCCCCAGGAATCCGCGTGGCTGAACCAAATAAAACATTTTGGCCTGACACGGCCGCCTTTTGGGGACGTCCCCAAGGGCTTCGCGGCCGGCCGCCTTCGGACACGAAGATCTCCATGCATCGGTTCCGCAGGGCCCGGGAGACCTCGCGAGACGCGTCGGAGACGCGGACTGAAAAACCCTCGAATTTGGGATAAAAAAAAGCAACACATGCATACGTTTACTTTACATATGTCACTATACACATACGTTTCATCTTTCTATTTGTCACTTATATTTACTTTACTTTAACTTGCTTTAGAGCTGTCGCTTTACTTTGCTTTACATATATGTACTTTGTGTTACTCGACGGTCGCTTTACATATAGCTTCTAGACATGAAGCAATTCTGCGCACATGTATGTGTATATATACAGTATATATATATATATATACATATTGAATACAAGAAGTGCAAATGAATTCACCTATGGTTTGGGGATTCCGTTATCATTCGAGCACCTGAAACATCCGTCCGCTCTGCCGACAAACGGCCCAACAATACTTTGGAATGTCGACAATTTTGGGAAACCAAATCTCTGGCATATCGGTCTGTCCTTTTTGGAGTTGCTCCCCGTTTTTGTCGTGATTTTAAAAGAGAAACCAAAATGAAAACCAAAGCCATGTTGGGGGATCCAACCTTAAAAAGACATATGGTGTGACATGTCAACCTGTCTCAATGTTGAATGTGCCACATTCCTGAGAATCGTCTCCGACAATCCAAGCTTTGCACATACGCTGTGGCAAGGCTGCAGGCAATCTTCTTCGTTCAGAGGCCATCATGGTGTTGCTGGAAAGAGTTCGTGCAAATGACTCTGACTGGCCCATACTTGTGGCGCTCCTTGGGACCCGGGGAATCCCTCTGTCAGATGCTTTAAAGGCACGACAGCAAGAAACGCAGCCACTTGGGATTGGAGGTTTGCTTGAGAGCCCTTGCGGCAATTTCTCGGAAAACCTCCGTTCACCAACCATGCTTGCTCGCCATGGTACGGAGTTCAACCACGCTTGACCGGGGACCAGCTATGTGTTCAGGCCAAACCTTCAACTCTATCTTGCTGGTGCGATAGGCAGGGAATGAGAAAAGGAATGGACCCAGGCTTTGGTCCCCGAACAAAGGAAACCACCAGCAAGGGATGGTTTTTTCTCGGGGTCTGACTCCAATTCTCATTCCCTGCATCTCTCGCACCGATCGCAAGATCAATTAGTTCAATCCGCCGACCCCATGCCTGGTCCAGAATGGACCATGCTTTCGGCATGGGGGCGGTGTGTTCTGTGTTGCTTTTGTTGATATGCTTTCTATAAGTTTAATGTGAATATGATTATGTATTTGTATATTATATAACCTATATCTCCCTTGGGGCGGCCCTTGGGGCTGGTTTCTACGTCGGCTGGATTTCTGGATTTCTGGATCTCTGGATCTCTGGATTTCTGGATCTCTGGATTTCTGGAATTCTGGATTTTCCACCCCCTCTCCCCTCCCCCCCCCTCCCCCCCCCCCTCCCCTCCCCCCCCCCCCAAAGGAGTTAACCTGGGCCTTCCTGACGGGCGAGCTCGCTCTGGGGAAATGGCCAAAAGGCTCCATTAAAGTGACATCCTCAAAGCCACATTCTAAATCAGAGCTTGAAAGGAGCTTCACACAACCCTACAGCTCATCACCCCTCCAATGCCGGCCCGGAACCCTCCAATCAAAAGCCCTGACCTCTCAGGGGCCCTGGGACAAAAAATGATCGGGAGCCTTAGGGATGCCAGGGCTTCAGAGCTGGTGGACAAATCCCGCTTTTGTTTGTTGTTTTTGTGATACAAATTCGCCGGCGCTGCCGGCGTGTCTTGTGGATGTTCTTGTATGTGTAGTCTTGTTTGTGTTTTAGTGCTGTGTTGTAGATTGTTCCTTGGCGCGGATTTTTGCCTCGTCTAAACTGACTTCACCCCCCCCCTCCCCCCCCCCCCTGTCCCCCGTAGTCTTCCTTTCTCTTCCGTAGTCTTCCGGCTTTTTCCCGTAGTCTTCCGTAATCTTCCGTAGTCTTCCGTAGTCTTCCGGTTTCTTCCCGTAGTCTTCCGAGTCTTCCGGCTTCTCCCAATAATCTTCCGTAATCTTTCGGCTTCTTCCCGTAGTCTTCCGTAGTCTTCCGGCTTCTTCCCGTAGTCTTCCGTGGTCTTCCGCCTTCTTCCCGTAATCTTCCGTAAGCCTTTCGGCTTCTTCCAGTAGTCTTCCGTAGTCTTCCGGCTTCTTCCCGTAGTCTTCCGTAGTCTTCTGTAGTCTTCCGCCTTCTTCCCGTAGTCTTCCGAAATCTTTCGGGTTCTTCCAGTAGTCTTCCGTAATCTTTCGGCTTCTTCCCGTAGTCTTCCGTGGTCTTCCGCCTTCTTCCCGTAATCTTCCGTAAGCTTTCGGCTTCTTCCAGTAGTTTTCCGTAGTCTTCCGGCTTCTTCCCGTAGTCTTTTTTTTTTCGTAGTCTTCCGTAGTCTTCCGGCTTCTTCCCGTAGTCTTCCGAAATCTTTCAAGCTTCTTCCCGTAAATTTCCGCAATCTTTCGGCTTCTTCCCGTAGTCTTCCGTAATCTTCCGGCTTCTTCTCCTAGTCTTCCGATACTGTTTCGGGACCAAACAACGCGCGTGTCCTGTGCTTTCGGGCTTCTTCCCTAGGCTTCGGGTAGTCTTCCCCCACCCCTCCGCCCCCCCTGTGTCTGTCTATGTCTGTCTACGTATCTGCATCTGTCTTCGTGTCCGCGAAGACCCCCCCTGCCCCTGCGTGTCTGTCTGTGTCTCTTTGTGTCTGTCTGGGTCTGTCTGCGTCTGTCTTCGTGTCCGCGAAGACCCCTTGCGTGTCTGTCTCTGTCTCTTTGTGTCTGTCTGCGTCTGTCTGTGTCTGTCTACGTATCTGCGTCTTTCTTCGTGTCCCCCCCCCCGCGTGTCTGTCTGTGTATTTGTGTCTGTCTGGCTCTGTCTGCGTCTGCCTGCGCATCTGCGTCTGTCTTCGTGTCCGCGAAGACCCTCCCCCCCGGCTGCGTGTCTGTCTGCGTGTCTTTGTGTCTGTCTGTGTCTGTCTACATATCGCGTGCTTTCTCTCGTCCCGGGCCGAAATTCTAAGGTGTGGGGGGGCGGCGGAACCAGGCCGCAGGCCATTAAATATGAAGACTCGGTTGCCCCGGATAGGACCCAGAAAGAGAAAGACTGATCACCTTTTGGGGCCGTGACAAAAAAAAATAGGGTTTGATTCCAATTCCATTCTTTTCAACCATCCTTCTTTTCAAAAACTGGATCCGTTTTCAACCATGGTTTTCAAGGTGGTTTTCTAGAAAGAAGGATCCCTGGAAAGAATGGGAAATGGAAGCTACCAATAGAAAAATAGGAACCCAAAGTTCCATTCGTCCAAATGGATCGCCACAACCTCATGGCCCAAGGTCCAGTTCCCAAAGGGAAACTGGAGCAAAGCGATCTACGAAGCCGAGGGCAGCTTCTTGGATTGGATTGGATGGTTGGCTGGTTTGATTGGTTTGGTTTGGTTTGGTTTGGCTTGGTTTGGTTTGGTTTGGTTTGGTAGGTTTCCAACTGCTTCTGGTTTGGATGCCGCGATTTGGACACTATCCTATGTGCTTGAAAGGAGGGTTGCAATCATAGGTGTTCTTTTAGGGCAAATAGATGGTTTGGTAGATGATTAAACCACCAGGTAAACCAGGGCCATCTATTTTCCTACCAAAACAACCAAAAAGGACACCTATGGCTGCAAGATCATCTTTGTTGCCCTGTCCTTTGAAACGTAAAGTTGTCCAGCTGAAGAGCAGAGGCTGCGTCGCAAATTGCTTGGCCGAAGGCCAAGCTGAATTCTGCTTTTCAGCATTGTGCAACTAGGTCCTCCAGATTTGGGAAATTAAAATAAGAATACCAACTTTTTTCTGTCTATTTTAGGGTCCCGAACCCTCCCCAAAAAAAGGGGAGAGAAGGGCACTGGGGGGCCTAGCCAGCTAGCTGGTCATTTCGCCAATGTTGAGGCCGCTGCCGTGGAGGCATAGCTCCCCGTGGTCAAGGTAAAGAAGACCCGGAAGTCGGGATGCGGCCTGGGCGAAAGAGGCCGACACGTGCCGTGGCTTCCCCGACGAGGCCTGGAGAGGACCCCCGCCCAAAAAAAACAAACACTACGAGGTACCAGCTAGACTTGGTTGCTGGAAAGACCCCTCTGCAAAAAGTTGACCACTTTTTGTGGGTTTAGTGGAAAACCCCTTGATTTCCAAAAAAGGAAAAGTCTAAAGATCCAACCCAATAGCAGTCAAGTAGCTGCTGGCTTAAAAGTGTAGACACGGGTCCTAAGGGTCCATGATGTACAATTTGAATCTCTATCGGAGTCTGCCATGTCTGCTGCTAGCTTCAAACTGGATCAGTACATGGTGAAAAGAAAGGGACACCGCCGAAATTCCGAAATAATTTTGGAGAAACCCTCAACATGTTCACAAGGGACCCAGCGTCCAAGATGCTTCGAGGGTTGCTCCCAAGACCGGCTCGACAGGAAGAAGATGTTTGGCCGCTGACAAAGCGGGAAATCCAACGCGACCGATGCCAAAATGCTACGCTTCCTGCGTTTGTTGCATCGTGTAAAGGCTCGGAGCATTTCTTGCACTTCGCCGGAACTTGCATATCCACCTTTTGCTTCCCTTGAACTTGCATTGGCACCATCGGAGTAGAACTAAATCCATGTACAACCTTGAAAGGAAACTTGGCCTGGTTTCTTTGGCCATTCTTACTCAATTTGTCACGGTTGCCTTCGCATAGCTCGCCTGCGCATAGCCAGGATTGAGGGCTTTGACTTTCTGCTACCCTCAGCCGTGCTCCAAGTCAAGCACTGAATAAAGCGACTTTGAAGGGGGTCTGCACCTCCCATCAAAGGATCAAACAAATGAGTTGCCATGCGAACAACTGGCTGAAAGCTTGCCATTCTTTTTAAATGCGACTCAAATCTCAAATGTGATACGTGTCTCCAGAATGGATCCTCAAGCACACTTTTATCTGGTCCATAATTGAACCGCAAAATGGAAGGAAAGGACCCGCACGTTGGAAACCCAAATCGCTATAAATCACGCCGCGCTCTGAGATGATGTTACTCTTAACCTCGCCATGCTGACTGCCAAAACTTCCTCCGAAGAGCCCAGAGCCTAGGCTTGGCATCAAAAGAAAAACTCTGGCAAACGAATGACAGCTCCAAAACCTGAAATTGAGAGACATATGGAAGGACAAAATCCACGCCGCACCGGTTGGGATGGATAAAAACCCGAACCCTAGGGGAACTCACCCTACCAACTGGCTCAAAATGGATTTCATCCATCCACGGCAGCTCAGCTCACGTCCATCGCTCGCAAGAAAAGACACATGCTTCTTGCAGCCGGTGTTCGCTGAATAACTTGCTGGTGCTAAGCAGGGAATGAGGGAACGGTGGAACATCGAGAGAACTTGCTTAAAAGAAATGAAACAAATCGAAATAGGTCAGTTGGGTTCCTTTAGAGTCGGCTAAATAAGATTGGATCGATTGATACACATGTTTTTTGTTGTTGCAATGTATGTTATTTAAAACAAATAGACTGTCTTTATTGTCAACCAACTATATTAGTCAGATATACATACATTCATTGATTTATATGTTGCATTGTTCAATATGTTGCGTGGTGTCCTTAACTTAGTATTAATTTTGATAGATCGACTTTTAATTTGTTTATGTGTGTGAATATGCATCAACATATCTAAACTAAACCAATTCTTGACAAGACATTATGACATGACTAGCCAGGTGAACATGAATGCATATGTCGTGCACCTCTACCGCCACGAAACACTTCTTTGCAGAGCACTCGTGAAATAAATAAGCCATGAATATCATCCAACTTGAAGAAACATTGACCCCCCAACATCCGGAGCTGGCTACTCGACTGCACAAGCTCTGAAGCGTTTTGCACGCCAGCTTGGATCGATAGCTGTTTCTAGCCGTCTGTACCAGCTGAAACAGCGAAGCATGCAAACCTCCACTCATAAGTCAGCATCCCCAATCACACCAAGTAAAACCAGCAATAAGCTTCTGCAACATGCAACAGCTGAGGTGAAATTTGTGCTAGGCCAAGTGCAAAGTTGATATGTCATGGTGATGGGTCTGCCTCCTTATAGTCGAATCTAAGGAAGTGCCTCTTGTAGTGTAAGAGACTCAGTGCCAAAACTTTGAACAATGTAGGCGCAAGCCTTGACGCTCCGCGTCTCTTAGAAACATTCAAGATCATTCGAGATCCTTCGAGGCCTTATCCTCGCTGGTTGTGCTAGCTCTTGCTCGCAACGGAATAGATTTCAAACACTAAGAAACATGGATCCGGAAATTGTTCCTTGGCATCCGAAAATATCTCCTGAAAGGCGAAGGCTTCCCAGTCCTCATCTGTTTCAACTGGAGCCTTTGCATCGGGTGGTTCACCGAGCGTAGACTCGTCGGCAATGCACACCACAACCTTTGAGCCGAAGGTGCTGCCTGGCGAGTCGTTGGCCGCGAGCTCATGGAGGAAGCCGCCGCTTGGCGAAAAGTCGACCCTTGGAACCGAGTCGTCAAAACCGATCGGTACTGAAATGGCCATGGGTCAAAACCCAAATCGGTTAGCCCCCAGTGGTTACATCCCAATCCCCTATAAAATAGGTTCTAAAATGGGTGGTGAATTCACCTACCCCAAAATGGGATCCCATGGGTTTTGACCCACAGCCAAATGGTGCACCCAAAAGCATGCGGCTTTCTGGCCATTTCTGGTTGGGATCATCCCTTACTAACCTTCATCTCCCCGGGGTTTGATTGTGGCTCCAGTGAAAGCAGTCAAGGACCCCGCGAATGCATGCCAATTTTTTGCAACATGGAAGCAAGTTGGGTGCAACAGTGGCATGCCGATCAACTTTGCTCTGCGCTCCTGCGATCCAAGAAAGTACAGAAAGTACACAGACCACATTAAATCGTGCCAAGAGTCGGATGCAAGACTTTCACTTGAAGCCCGCGTGCCAGCAGTTTCTCTATCAACAATGAGGTGATGGCACTGCTGCGGTTCCAGTGGCCATAGATCACTCGCGGCCGGCAAGCAGCGCTGCTTGCCGACCGCGTGAAGAAAGTCAACACGCCTGCGAGTGCCATCACTGTGGCGTAATCCCAGCAGAGGTCGGTGCCGAAAACCGTGTGCAAGTCAGCAAGGCCAGGAACCAACTCCGGCGCCGGCTGCGCAGGCTCCGAAAAGGGCTCCGAAAAGCGCTCGCTTCTCGGAATCAAGTCGTTCCAGTCTAGAGCAAACACCTCTGGAGCTGAGAGATTCCAGGTCCCTTGAGCAACAAGCTCTTGAAGCCTGCAAACTGGCTGCCCGGGCAAATCAGTCAAGGTTACGTGCGCACCTGGCACATTCCTTGCAACCATCATACCCAACCAGCCAACACCACTTCCAAGCTCCAGCAGGTTCAAGTCCAGCGGGCTCTCGACAGTCCAACCTAACTCTGCACAGCCCTGCTGCTGGAGCCAATGGGAGAAACTCTGTGCTGCCGGCCACAATCTGAGGTGAGTCCCTCTGCTCGAGTCACGCTGTTCCTGAGTACACAGCTGCTCCCTTGGAGAAACCTCATGCCAGCCTTGCAAGTCAGCTGCCATGCCGCTGCACGGGAACGCATCTAGCGCAAGACGTCAGAGATCATTTTGAGCTAAGCGCCAACACTGCTTCTTCACCACTCAAGGTGCAAACTAGCCAGCAGGCCTCATTTACAGCACAAAGCCACTTACCAGTTCAACTGTGCACGAGCTTGTTCACTCAAAGGTGACAGGACATGCTGATCAGAATTTCTAGGCTGTGCTGCCTGTCGAAACTTCCTGACAATCCGCTCACAGCATTGAAGGGTACCATTGCTGTACCAACGAAAACTAACGATGCTAAGAGCCACCCCCAACCATCCTAGCCAAGCAGCAAACCAGCCAGCAAACCAGCCAGCAAACCAGCCAGCCAGACAGCCAACCAGCCAAGCAACCACCCAGCCCAACCAACCAACCAACGAACCAGCCAGCCAGTCGGCCACCCAACCAGCGAACCTCATTGAGATCCTTTGATTTGCCATCCCCTTCCTCACTCTCTCTGCCCGCTTGGCGACTTGGGGCCGCGGCCACACCAGCCGCTCCTCTCCCGACTCCGTGAGCCTCAGTGAGTCAGACGGGACAAGCCGCCCGCGGAGCCGAAAGCAACCTTCCAGATATTCACCTGCGAGATCGGTAGGGAACGAGAAAAGGAATGAACCCAGGCCCAGAGGTCCCCGAAAGACAACCAGCAAGGGATGAGTTGTTTTTGCAGTCAGACTCCATTTCTCATTCCCTGAGCACCAGCAAGATTAACATACCCGAGAAAGCGTGAGACGTGTTGAGACAGCTTCATTGGTGCCCCGTTCCATGTTGATTTGCAGTGGGGGAGAACCCTGCACAAGAAACAGGCTCAGCTCAGCGGAAGGCACAACGGCGCAATGGGAATGATGCCGGAAATCAAAGCGAAGCAAACTCTTGATGAAGCGACGCGATCCTTGAGAAAGCAAGATACAAAGAAGTGATCTTACTGCTCGACTTTCTCTGCAGATCCGGTGCTTCACCCTTTGTGGCGCCTTGCCATTGCCTTGCGTTTGATCCGGAACACGTGCAACATCGAATCGACTGACAAGGGGAGCAGGTTCCAAACCAGAGCCCAGAAATCTACAACCTCGTTTCAACTTTCAACATGACCTAAACCGAATTCACGCCACCCACGTGCCATTTCCCATAATGGAAGCTCAGTGGGCGCTTGCCCAACGAGTTGAATTCCTCAAGAAACCTGATACAGCACAGGACGAAACATTGGGCGAACCTCTTCGAAAGAAGTCTTTGCTTCCTGATGCTCTCGGCTTGCAACTTTGGGTGCCACCCTCTTGTTCCGGAAGCAAAACACGCCCTTCTCGTGGGACTCGGGTAGATGAGTGCAAGACCTACACCCTACATCCAGCCGAACCATACATCCTGAACACCCGAAGTGAGTTTGCCTCACTGTCCCTTCTTCGCTGAAGGCCCCCACGAACTCTTTGGGTCCACCTGGGCATCTTAAGCTACATTCCCCTCTCTTAAACACTGAACTGAGGAACTCAAAAGCAACGCTTAAAAACAATAACCTTCCCCTCAAACAAAGGATGCACCCAAGGATCCAATAACCTCTGGCCCCCGTGCCTCAGAACGCAGAATGTTTCACCACCACGCTGGCCACCATTGAGGTCAACAAAAACACTTCTGCAGAGCTTCCCCCTCCCCCCCCTCAAAAAAAAAGAAGAGAAGAGATAATAATAAAAAAAGAAACGGTGCACCGCACAATCCCAAGAAAGAGCCACCCCCCCTCGCCCCCAAACCTCGGATGTCTAAGAGCCTAAACTTTTCGTGGTCTAAATGGACACCCGATTCGCTGGTTGAACCAAGAAGCAGAAGTCCCCCCCAAAAAAGCAACAACAACCAAAAAAATAACATGCACCCCCTCACCCCCCTCCCCCCCCTCGAAATCGCATGTAAAAGCCCCCCCCCCCCAAATCAAACACAAAGCGAGCCCCGGGCATCAGGAAGCCGTTGGGCTCCAGCAGGGAGTTCAGGCGGTCCAGCACCGCCGGGGCGGCCTCTTTTTTCACTCGAGGGGAGGGGGGGTAGGCTTTTCGGGGTTGGTGTACAAAAAACAATCAAGGGATGTGGGTTGCTAAAACAAAAAGCAGGTCTGTGAGTGATTTTTTGTATTTGGTGGGGGTCCAGTAGTTTTGGGCATATGTGGGGGAGTGTCTCGTTTTGAGGGTACCTGACCCCAGCTGCGCAGTCCATAATGCTTTTCTTCAGCCGCCAGCGTTTGTTCTGTTGCGGACAAAGTTCTTTTGGCTACATAGATGTTGTCGGAGATCGGATTTTGGAAGTTGTGTTGTGGTGGAAGGTAAAGTCAAGAGGCCATTGGCTGCCTTGTCAGAGGAGATTCCACAGCCCGGGTTAATGAACCGGTAGTCATTCATGTTGGATTTTAAATGTCGTTTGAGTAGAAGACCTCCTGTCCGGTTGTTCATCTGCGGAGCATTGTGAAGGAACCCACCCACATGTGTTTTTGTGGGGAGGGGGGGGGGAGGGGATTGGGGAGGGGTGGGTCCATTTTGATACACACCCCTCAGAACCCCACCTGTGGATTTCCATGAGAGCCACCCTTTTTTCTGACGGTCAAGTGGAACCGAGAAAGAAACAGAAGCGGCACCGGCTTCCATCCAGACGCGTGGTAGAGGGCTCTTGTGTTGGACCAATTCAATCGAAGCCCAACCCCGTTTTCAACTTTCGTTGGCGCTCGGGTGAGTTCGGGACCAAAGCGTGGCGGCAACGTTGCGCAAGCACCAAAGCATATTTAAAGACCAAAGGCTTCTTGAGATAGCTCGTACGAATTTCCCTCAATGGGAAAACGCAACAAGCCTCACATCGACGACGTGCATCAATGACGGGCAAAGAGCTTAGGCCATGCGATCGAAACGAGGAATCGAGCACTGCCAAACGACGGGCCAAGGTAGCAGCTTGGCTTTCATTTCTAGGACCGTCCCCAAAAGGCACACACCATTCTGGCACACGGCAAGCTCCAGGACGGGCTAGCTGGGCCCGTGAAAACCAGCAAAACCCAGAAATTTGAAGTGGGTCCATTTGCGCTCGTTCGCCTCTTGACTGACTTGGAACCTCCGTTTACTAACCTGGAGTGTCCGAAAGAACCACGTGTTCAAAAGGAAACCTCCAGCCCAAAATAGGCCTGTAACCTTTCAACGAGAGTCAGTGCCGAGACGACATGAAGAAACATTGACGGAAATAAGACTGCTGAATGCTTGCCAGCAAAAGCATACACCGACCTTCCCTAGGTCCTCCAGTAGAGAGGATAGAATAAGGGTACCCTTTTTCTGTAGTGTATTTTAGTAGGGGAACCCTCCCAACCAAAAAAGGGGTGAGAAAGGGCACCTAGCTGAGGGACCTAGTTCCCTTCAAAAGGTCAGAAGCCGGTCCGCTTGGCTCGCAAGGCGAGGTTTCGAACCAGGACGCGAAGCGAAACGTTCTCGCAGCTTGCCAAAAAAGATTCTGAAAACCCAAGCCCCCAGGAAAAAACATAAACATATTTCCAGTATTGATAGATTCCCTTTAAAACAAAAAGAGGAAAAAACAATATTCTTAAGCATATTGAAGAAAAGGTTTCCTTTGAAGGTCCCCTTCAAGGTTGCACCCTAAGGCCACGCTCTCGCAAGCGCTTGCAAGAATCAGGGTTCGCAAGACGTCCTACCCGCAGACAACACTGCACCAAAACAGCCATACTTTGCAGCTCGTGTGGGCAAAGAAATCAACAACCTCTGGCCAGAAATTCTCCACCAAAAGGGGGGTGTCCACCGAGCAACACCAAAAACAATGGAGACATGACAAACTAGGTCCTCCAGTAGAGAGCTTAGAATAAGGGTACCCTTATGTACCCTTTTTTCTTTTTCGCCGGTTTTAGCAAGGGAAGCCTCCCAACCCAAAAAAAAGAAAGAGAAAGGGCACAACTGGGGGACCTAGTCAGTGCGTAGGGAAGCAACCTGGCAAAATCTCCCCGCCCGACATGGAACGGGCACCTGGAAGACCATGTGTTTTTTTTTTTTTTTTAATAGGCCATCTGGTACGCCATCTGGTGAATGGGTCCCACGCGTTCAGCTCGGTGTTTCCAGTGAGATCCCGGCCTGCTCCGCATGGGAGAGCAGCACCCAGCTGCCCTCCAGCATGGCCGTCACCAGCGGTCCATCCACCTCGTGGCTGGAGGCGATCGCGAACCGGAACACATCGCCGGGAAGATGGGCCGAACACCCAATTGAGACATTGGAAGATGGTGGATGATGAAGGACTGGAGCTCATCCCCCCCCCCAAAAAAAGAACAAAATGGATGCGTTACCTTTGGTTCCCCTCCAAACCCACCCAACAAATGAGTCATAATCAAAGCCCGGTACTATAATGGTCGTACTCCCAGAGCCATGCTTCAACAATTAGGAAGGCGGATATCCGCAGCTATTTCTGGTTGGGATTGTCCCTTACTAGCCTTCATCTACCCTGGCTTTGATTTTTGGCTCAATTGTGTTGTTGTTGCTGTGGTCACTCTTCTTGTTGTTGTGGGAAATGGGAACAACAACAACAACAACAACAACAACAACAACAACAACAACAACAACAACAACAACAACAACAACAACAACAACAACAACAACAACAACAACAACAACAACAACAACAACAACAACAACAACAACAACAACAACAACAACAACAACAACAACAACAACAACAACAACAACAAACAACAACAACAACAACAACAACAACAACAACAACAACAACAACAACAACAACAACAACAACAACAACAACAACAACAACAACAACAACAACAACAACAACAACAACAACAACAACAACAACAACAACAACAACAACAACAACAACAACAACAGCAACAAGCCACGCGACTCAGATGCTGATTCACATCGATTCTCTCGGATCCGCATGGTGGAGGCGACCCATGGGGCGTTTGCCAGCCGCTTTGAACACCACCTGGTCGAAGATGTTGCGGGGGTGCCCAGCGAAGCTTGCGTGTTTGAACAGGAAGCACACTTGTTTAAATATCAGCTCATGCTGGGCTCCTTGTCTGGGCTCCGCCCCATGGTAACTGACCAATTGTGCAGCCCAGCTTGCTGCTGTGTCAAAAGGGGCCAGCACAAACGAACGAGGGCAAAGGCAGCCTTTGTTGATCATCTTTAGTTGGGGAGACGGTGAACCAAACCACGGTGCCAGTGAACAAGTAACTCGGCGACAGCAAAACCAACATCATCGCAGCGGAACAACTCAAGTCTGCCAAGCTTAGGGAGCAGGGGAATTGGCGCATTAAAGGGAACACCTGGTCCAAACCAGTTTACAAGCCCACGTGGCATCCGCAACAGCAGCCCCCAGAAACCTTGCAAAAAACCTGGCGTTGAGCAAGCCCTGACCCCTCCCAAACCCTTCGGTTGCTGAAAGGGACGGATGATTGACTTCAACTGCCCACTACCACGGAAATGGAGTGTTCTCCTGAGAGAACCAACCATAAAACTGTAGTTCACCGTTGCCAAACCAGTATACGGGCAGTTCGGCAGTTCCAAATGCTTGGCTTCAGTGGCCAACCACTGGGTAAAATGATCTTCCAGCCTGTGAGGCTACTCAAAAGCCCCATGTAACCTCGGGAAGGCCTCCGGTTTCGCTTGGAGCGTGGGGTTTTCATAGGCCCCATGGTGTGCCCAGGTCAATAGCTCCCAACCAACGCTTTGGAGTGGCTTCCTTTGGTTCTTGCTGGTGTAGGCAGTGACAACCAGTCCGGGTTTTGGGAATGAGCCTTTCTGTTTTGCGGAATCCCTCAAAGGAAGCCACCAGTTGGGATGGTTTTTTTGGTGAGTCATTCCATTTCTCACTCCCACCTGAGAAGCAGCGGTTTCCCAAACCAAGCCCAAAAGGTCACACGAGGCCCTCGCCCACTCGAAGCGAGCAGCGCTCTTGCGCGACCTACCAGGCTCTTAGCGGGTCTCAAAGATGACCTACTGATGCACGAAACCCAGTTCGCGCCACCTAACAAAAACCCTGGAATGGGGATTCCCCATAAATACCAACCAACAAATGATTTCAACCATGGTTTCCCAGTGGTGCAAACTGGATTTCGTCCATCCAAAGTAGTAAAAGACATGTGACCAAACAAAGCTTTGGGCGTGGTTGATCGGTGGACCAATCAAAAAACATGTTGAAATCACATCTGGGTCGAATTTTTGTGGGTCGAATTCTTGTGGGCCAAAAAGTTCAAGTCCAAAGATCCACAAGCAAATCGCCATAAAGTAGGTTCATTGTCCTCACTCTGCTCAACCATCGTCCCTTTCCTTGCGGGCTAGGTCTTGGCTCGTCCCCTTGAAATCTCGCGCAAAAAGTACGAAGGCTCGGACGACGTCTATTTTCCAAATGTTGAGAGATTCAAACCCGCCGCTGCACAAATGTCACGTTTGATTCTGATTTCCCATCACAAAGCCATCGTTTGCTTCGCTGTCGCATTTTTTTATCCCTTCTTACGTCCAAATACTCTGCTGCAGTCAGGATGTTTCCCTAGGTCCTCCAGTAGAGAGGTTAGAATAAGGGTACCCTTTCTTGCTGTAGTCTATTTTCGCAGGGGACCCCTCCCAACCAAAAAGGGGTGAGAAAGGGCACCTAGCTGGGGGGACCTAGTTCCCGTTTGGCGCTTTCAACCACATCCGAGAGATCCGATCTCGGAGGGCTCTCGACTCTATCTCTGCCTGGCATCCGCCAACTGCTGCTCAAGATCTTGGAGCTCCTGGCGCCAGCAACTTGCCTCGTTTGCGGTTTGCAGCTCGCGTGTTAAATTGACAGGTCTTGATCTTGATGATGTGTGGAATCGGCCTGGCTTGGGACCGGAGAGAAGCTTTAGAAAACCATGGAAATCGTTTCCCTGGAGTCGGAATCCTGGAAAGATGTGGGAAAAAGAACTCGGTGCAAGGTTGGTCTCTGGCTCGATCATCCACCAGCTCAGCGCTTGACCAGTGTTTGGAATACTTTTCTGGTCAGGGCTGGGCCCATCAATCCAAAACATGGGCCCAGAGTTCAGATGTCTGCCGCCTGTGTCTGCCAACCCTAAGTTGCCCTGGCGGCTCACCGCCCAGGTGCAGCAGCCATATGGGTGGGAAATCCCTTTCAATTTTGAGAGACACAATTCATGTGTCCTTTTAGGGCAAATAGATGGCCCTGGTAGATGATTAAACCACCAGGTAAACCAGGAATCGCCATCTAGTTTTCGACCAAAACAACCAAAAGGGACACCTATGCACCCAAATTCTATAGACAGCAGGTGCTCCAGCACCATCCACCACTCACTCGACGAGCTGAGACAACGAAGCGCACGCCTGCCTCAGGCGTGCCTTGGGTCTTCAGCCTGAGACAGTGTGGGCGTCACCTCGCTTTTTCTGACCTCCGCCCCTGGCCATCAGGGGGCCCCTTGCCAAAGAGAAGCTTCTTTTCCTACCACTCCCTGGTTCTCGGAGAACCTGCGAGGGGTTTGGGGGGAGCCTGAACAAGGGATGGTTCACACTGATGGGAAAAAACCTTCCGGGAGCCCACCCGGTGCGCAGTGCGCGCGGAGTTCGTCCAACAGGAAAGCACTGCCATTGCCAAACGTCCATTTGCTTTGTGGCCCCTGGGCTGCATTGAAAAAATACTGTATGTCAAACCAGGGGACATGAAAAAAACATACATCCATGTGCTGTTTCGCCCGCTGGAAAAAATGAGACAATATGTCCAGTAGTGCTAGATTCCATTTGAAACCAACAGGAGGAAATCAAACATCTTCATTTGCAATGGAAGTTCAAAGATTCCAGGGGCCAAAAGGGCCCAAAGGACCGATGTATACAAAAAACCCCTTTAGGTCGCCGCTGCTTCAGAAGAGCGTCAGCCTCAGCCGAAGTGAGATTCCGGTGCCTCGTTTTGAGATTGGCGCTTTCACATTGGCTTAACAAAAAAAACCTTCAGATTCAGGACTAAGCCATGTTTTAAACAGCATTTTGTTGGTTGTCCTTCAAGGGAGGGGGCCCCCTGGTCTGACACGTAAGTATATCTGCTTCTCGACCAGTCTAAGGACACCCATGGATGCACATCCAACTCACAGTTGACACTCTTCTCTCTTGCCGGACTCAGTCTCCCTCAGATGCAACCTCAACCCAAATGATGCGGTTGATTCTGAATCAAATTTAGCGAGCCAGATCTTAGAATTATTCTCCCTCTCTCCCACTCTCTCTCTCTCTCTCTCTCTCTCTTCTGAGTTACTGCAAAATAATTTCCAGGAGGTCCCAGCGACAATTCGGGCATGCGTACCAACAACTTGAAAAAGCCCCCCCAAAATGGCTCAAGGAGTTCATGGTCGATGTCCCTTCAAGTAAATAATAATAATAATGTATATATATATATATATTATTATAATAATAATAATAATGATAATAATAATAATGATAATAATAATAACAATAATAATAATAATGTATATATATTATAATAATAATAATAATAAGAATAATAATAATAGTAATATAATAATAATAATAATAATTAATAATAATCATCATAATAGTAATAGTAATAATAACAATAATGTGTATATATATAATACTAATAGTAATAGTAATAGTAGCAATAATAATAATAATAATCATAATCATAATAATAATAATAACAATAATAATAATAATGTATATATAATAATAATAATAATAATAATAATAATAATAATAATAATAATGATAAATGTATATATATATATAATAATAATAATAATAATAATAATAATAATAATAATAATAATAATAATAATAATAATAATAATAATAATAATAATAATAATAATAATAATATTAATGATAATAATAACAATAATAATAATGTATATATATAATAATAATAATAATAATAATAATAATAATAATAATCATAATAATAATAAGAATAATAATAATAGTAATAATATAATAATAATAATAATTAATAATAATCATCATAATAGTAATAGTAATAATAACAATAATGTGTATGTATATAATACTAATAGTAATAGTAATAGTAGTAATAATAATAATAATAATCATAATCATAATAATAATAATAACAATAATAATAACAATAACAAATAATAATGCATATATATATATATAATAATAATAAAAATAATAATAATAATAATAAATGTATATATATATATATAATAATAATAATAATAATAATAATAATAAAAACAATAATAATAATAATAACAATAATAATGACAATAAAAATAAAAATGTATATATAATAATAATAATAGTAATATAATAATAATAATAATAATAATAATAAGAATAATAATAAATGTATATATATAATAATAATAAAATAATAATAATAATAATAACAATAATAATAACAATAATAATAATAATGTATATATATAATAATAATAATAATAATAAAACAAATAATAATAATAAATGTATATATATATAAACTCCACTCGGCGAGGCTCCGCCTTCCCGTGGCTCTTTGAGGCACGAGCTTGCGACAGAAGCACCGTGACCTCCACCTCCGAGTGCGAGTTTGAAGTTGTTGCACACAAATTGGTGAAATTGGGCGGTGGGGAATGACCACTTCTGTGATACAACCGAAAGGGCTTCCCAAAGGCTATTTTGTTCATACAAAGAAACATAACCTTGTATCGCAGAAGTGGGGAGTAACCCCTTGCTCCCACAACCCTGGGTGAAGTTGGTTGTCCAAACTGGGAATTCCCATAGGATGCCCGATCGGTACATCTTTCATGTGTCCATATCCTACGGACGAATCACCCCGTGGATTACCTGTGGAAACCCCGCACCCTTGGCAGGCTAGGTGTCATTCATCCCAGCTGCAAAGTAGATCTTGCACCTGTTGGAAGGTATCTCACTTCTTGAGTGGATCGCCCTGAAAAAAGTAACTACACTGTTGGTTGCTTGCGACTAAACTGGTCTTCCCAGAATCTGTTTTAAGCCCATGAACTCAATGAGTGAGGCACTTGGAAGATGAATTTATCCTTGTTGGTGCCTCTGTCTTGGCATCTCAATGGGGCGCAAAACAGGCAAAGAACCACCTGGCGCAAGGTCTCCCAACTTACAAAAAAGGCGTGGCCTTATGGCTGGGAGTATCCCTTACAAACCTTTATCTACCCGGGTTTTGAGCAAGTGGCTCAAATGAGATTGGTGCTGGCGCGAGAGATGCAGGGAATGAGAAATGGAATGACCCCTATCAAGCCTTCTCTATGGTTTCCTTTAAGGGAATCCCCAGGTTCATTCCCTCATTCCCTAGCACCAGCAAGCTATTCTAGGGGATAATTCCCAAATGGTTGATTTCCTTTGGGTTTCCCTTCACCACCACCCAACCCTCATCTGGTCTCATGGGCTGTTGAAGAAACCTGTGGCAAACAATGCCGCCTCCTGGGAGGGGGTGGGGATCTGCATGTTGGGTCCCCGTCCCCGAGAATCTGGTGAGGTTCATGTTGGCGCCCCTCTAAATACCAATCCAAAGGGGGCCACCACTTTGAGAACCTCCCACGTTTCCCGACCTCACGCAACTGCCTTTTGACTAGCCCTAAAGCCGCCATTCGATTCGTTTCCACGTGACAGGGAAACGAAGAAACAAACAAAAAAAAATGGCCCCCCCCCCACCGCCGGGCGTGGCCAATTTCGGCCTTGTCATCCGCCAGTGCCTCCAACTGTGAGCTTTGCCTGTCGGGTGTGTCGAGTCGAAAGGGCCTCGGGGTGCGAGAAGATCACCCCCATTTGGACCGCTCGTATGACTGCGACGCAGCCAGACCAGGTGAAAAAATATAAAATGGTCCAGTAGTGAAATTGATTCCCAATAGAACCAACAAGGACAACAAACATACATTCTTAGGCAAATGCAAGGGTTTTTGAGCTAAGAAAAGCTGAGTGAAGCCCTTGGCTGGCCCTTTCAAGCCGGGAAGCCGGCCATTTTCGTTTCACATGCCTGGGATCTTGGGTGGGCTGAATGGCTGTTGAGGTCAACCAAAGGGCTCACTTCTTGGAGCATGACAATCAAACAACATGATGAATGATGATGATGATGATGATGATGATGATGATGATGATGATGATGATGATGATGATGATGATGATGATGATGAGGATGATAAGGATGATGATGATGATGATGATGATGATGATGATGATGGTGGTGGTGGTGGTGGTGGTGGTGGTGGTGGTGATGATGATGTCAACATCCGATTTTCGTGATGGGTGTTCATGTTCATAGCCTGCACTCGGCCCTCCCCCCAAAAAGACTCCCCACCACCAGTGTAACAAAAGCTCGTAGACGCGACCTTTCGCCCCCAGATGCCAGCTTATTTAGGCTGCAGTTACGCCTTTGTCTGGGGAAGCAAGAGCTGTGGAGGGCATCCACTTTTGGACCACCACAAGAGATACTAGGTCCTCCAGTAGAGAGGTTAGAATAAGGGTACCATTTTTTTCTGTAGTCTATTTTAGTAGGGGAACCCTCCGTGTCCTCAGCGGTTTTTTTGTTTTGTCTCGTCGCTGCGCCTGAGGCACTCCTCCAAGATGGCCCGCGACTTCGGATCCTGCGAGCGGATCAGAGACTCGCAAGGTCCGTTAGAAAGGCAAGTCACCGGGAACCCACCAGGAAGCCCATTTTCACAGGTCACAAGGAACCTTCCTGTTTTTGGTCTTTGGGGTTGTCCCGCAACAAGTAAGGGAGCCCGTTTTCCGGGTTTTTGTCTTTGGGGCTGTCCCGCACCGCTGCTGCTGAATGAGCCGCTTGAAGGCGTCCGATGTCTTTGGAGGTGTCATTTGCCATGAATTGCAAACGAAAAGAAGTCACTGGAGTCGCTGGAGTTCCCCAAAGGTTGAGCAATTTACTGGTGGTTGCCGTTGAAAGCGCCACTTTTACAGATGCCAAAACGGGAAATGCTAAACAGCCTCCTTTTAAGCAGTCCCTAAGGCAACCCAGCTGCTTAAGAACACGCACTGCAACCCTGGCAAGTGGGCCCTTCCCCCCCCCCCCGCCCCCATGTTTGGACAAAAACACAGCACAACCACACCATTTTTGGGTTTGGTGGGGTTTACCTCCAAGCGGAATCAACTCACTCTGCAAAAGCAAATATACGGCGCTAAAAGTATACGGCGCAAAACCTCTGCAAAACGAAGAGGTGGGCAAACGAAAACGTGGGTTTTCGAAACCCTGATTTGATTTCGTAGGATGTTTCAGGAGCTGCCAACAACACGCCGCACCCAAACACCACCGATTGAGGAAAACCCGGGAGGAAGCTGCATTCGGGTGAGAAGGGGTGTCTCTGCCCCCGTCATCCCCGCCAGCTGCTGAGTAGTCCTTGCCCGCAGATGCTGCGTCATCCACCCACATGTGCTCGAGGGTTGGGAGGGCTAAATCACAGACGGGAAGGGGAGGGGATGATAAGAGGGCTTAGGTTTAGGAAGTGATTTTGAGGTTTAGGGTTTTTAGGGTTTCGAGTTTTTAGGGGTTTGGTTGAGTTTTTAAGATTTAGGCTTCGGCTTTTTTGGTTCAAGGGTTCCAGGGATTAGAGATTTGAAGGGTTGGGGTGTCTAGGGATTAGGTTTGGGCTTTTTTTGGTTTAGGATTCGGGTTTTAGGGTTTGGGCTTCGGGCTTTTGAGGGTTTTTGGGGTTTAGGCTCAGGGGTTGTAGGATAAGGTTCAGGGTTTTGTTCTAAAAAGTAAGACTGGTGGCCAGAAAACCAGGCTGAGCTAGATGCACAGCAAGAAGAACACACGCTGGTGTTTATGTGCTTAATCAGCGCTTTGAAATCTTTCAAGCACTGGGCCATTCTATCAGAGGAGTTGAGCGATTGTCCATCAAGGACAAAAAACAAGCACAAGAGATCAAAAAGCAATTGTCCTCAATTTCGCAGCATAGGCTCGAGGGCGTGCAAACGCCTGGCCGCACTGCTTGACGCACGCACGGCTGTCCCCGCACCGTGGGTGGAACTCCTTGTTGCGGTGAAGCAGCCATTGCGTCGTCTGTGCCTAAAGCTGGGCGTCATCTTGCCCGGAATTCAGCTCTGAAGAGCGGCATCAGCTGCGGTAATTTTGCATCGATCACCACCTCCCGTTCTGCAATCCTTGGGCCTGCGCTGCCGGATTTCAGAGATGGCGTGCAGATCGCGATGCCACCAGCATGTGACGAGCACGATCTAACTCAAAAGCTTTCCTGATGGCCGTGGGATCAAGCTTCCCAGCGTGGGCCGCAACAGCACGGAGGCCGAGCAGTTCTCCGGTCATCTTTTCAAAACTGACTCTCCCGCGCAACAGATCTTTAAGACTGCCATCTTCGCACCGCTCATCTCAGCAGACCATCCTCTGAAAGCCTCCTTCCATGCCAAGTCTCGAAAAAGGCTCAAGTCCTTGAAGGGCCGGGTCGCACACGTTTCCCACCCCCCTGCCTTAAACAAACTTTAAGTTTGATCTAGAAAGGGATTGCTTTACACAGGTTGTTCTAAGCAGGTTCTCTGAGCAGGTTTTCTGAGTATTCGTTTAGACAGGAACTATTCCACGCAAGTTTTTTGAGCAAGTTCTCTGAGAAAGTCCTGTGAGCAAGTTCTCTGAGCAAGCCCTCTGTGTGAGGCCAGCGCAAGAGAATCCAGCAGCGAAGGAGTCTTTCGGGAGAAGCAAATCACCACAACACTGAAAATCAAACGCAGAATCCGTTTTGCCTCCTGGAAATATGGGTGTTTATGTTTTTTGAGGGTGCCCCTTTTCTGCTCGCATTAAAGGGACACCAACACAATGGCCGGGGGTTCCGTACCCAGAAAGCAACCCGGCCGACTCGCTTGCTTCCTCCTTCTCTGCCAATCGGCTGTGCGCCAGCACGTGGGCCTTGTGCGCCCAGTGCCGCAGCTGGCCTTTGGCATCCACCTGACACTCTGCCCTTTGGGGGTTGATCAACATTCTCCCTCAAAAAAAAAAACAAATTTGACCATAGAAAGTCGTCATTTGTGTGGATTTTCATGTTGGGTCGTCCCATTGGGAATAGTCATTTGCCCACCCTCAGACTACCCCAAGTCATGGGGGAGAAGATTTTGCCAGACCTACTTGTGGGGGTTCCCCTCGCTAAGGGTACCAAGCTAGTAAGCTGAACTTTTCCCTCCTACTTGGTGGAGCCCGGTGGTTTGGTGGTTAAGGGGCGGTTCTCCTTACCTTCTACAAACAACAAATCCAAACCACCAATTACAGGGAAGCTGACAATAAGTGGTTGGCACTTGGGTTATATCCCCCTAACAACAAGGTTAAGCCCACCCAACAAGGGACTTGGAAGTGGGTTAAAACCAAGGTTGCCAACAATTTCCCGACTTGTATCCAACCACCTGCTTTACAAGGGTGGGGGGGTCCTCCAAATCAGCTGGCACAGGTGATTGTTGAACTGGCCGAATTGTATCCTCAATCCCCAATCCTGACAAATGTTGCGGTTTGGATTGAATTGGTGGTTACGTTCGGATTCGTTTCCCATTTACCCTCTACAAGAACCGGTTCAAATCCCAAGCCAACCCAACCAAGGGTCACAGCAACTCCCAACTCCCTAGCCAGCTTTAGGAAAGGAACGCTACTCCTAGGCCAAGCATTTGTCCAAGAAAAAGGTGGTCTCAAAACATACCTTTTTGGAAAAGGACCATTGCCATGAAACCCAATTAGTTTATTCTTCCCTTGGACACTTGCACATTGCCAGAAAGTGGCCGGGCGTCAAAGTGAGACCGGTTCAAAAAGGAACTAGCCTTTCTCCCACGAGCATGGCATCTGTGGGTACCTGAAAGATCCGTTTCCCCTGGCACCAATTCCTCGTCAGCGGCTATCTTCGTGGGCTCAAGTTTCACCTTTCGTGGGCACGGAAGCCCCTGCTAAGCGCCACCAAATACCAAGCTGAGGAACCAGAGGGCTGGCTCCGAGCCGGGCGCCTGCTCGAAGCAGCCCAGCAGCTCGCTGGCGTCCATGGCCGGGGTCAGCGGCACCTGACTCTCAAAGGATATGGAAGCCGACCAACCCGACCTAAGCCAACCCGGCCTAAGCCAGCCGAAAAAGAAACAACAATCACCAAGCAATCAAGCAAGCAAGCAAGCAAGCAAACAAGCAAGCAAGCAATCAAGCAAGCAAGCAAGCAAGCAACGAAGCAACCAAGCAACCAAGCAACCGAGCAACCAAGCAACCAAGCAACCAAGCAACCAAGCAACCAAGCAACAAAGCAAGCAAGCAAGCTCGCAATCAAGCAAGCAAGCAAGCAAGCAAGCAAGCAAGCAAGCAAGCAAGCAAGCAAGCAAGCAAGCAAGCAAGCAAGCAAGCAACGAAGCAACCAAGCAACCAAGCAACCGAGCAACCAAGCAACCAAGCAACCAAGCAACCAAGCAACCAAGCAACCAAGCAAGCAAGCAAGCAAGCAAGCTCGCAAGCAAGCAAGCTCGCAAGCAAGCAAGCAAGCAAGCTATCTAGCAGGAAAGCAAGCAAGCAAGCAAGCAAGCAAACAAGCAAGCAAGCAAGCAAGCAAGCAAGCAAGCAAGCAAGCAAGCAAGCAAGCAAGCAAGCAAGCAAGCAACCGAGCAACCGAGCAACCGAGCAACCGAGCAAGCAAGCAAGCAAGCAAGCAAGCAAGCAACGAAGCAACCAAGCAACCAAGCAACCGAGCAACCGAGCAACCGAGCAACCAAGCAACCAAGCAAGCAAGCAAACAAGCAACCAAGCAACCAAGCAAGCAAGCAAGCAAGCAAGCAAGCAAGCTCGCAAGCAAGCAAGCAGGAAAGCAAGCAAGCAAGCAAGCAAGCAAGCAAGCAAGCAAGCAAGCAAGCAAGCAAGCAAGCAAGCAAGCAAGCAAGCAAGCAAGCAAGCAAGCAAGCAAGCTCACAAGCAAGCAAGCAAGCAAGCAAGCAAGCAAGCAAGCAAGCAAGCAACCAAGCAAGCAAGCAAGCAAGCAAGCAAGCAAGCAAGCAAGCAAGCAAGCAAGCAAGCAAGCAAGCTCACAAGCAAGCAAACAACCAACCAACCAACCAACCAACCACCCAACGATTCAAACTTTACACATGTCCGAAACCTGAATTCAGAGATCCGAGAAAAGGATCCTTACCAAGCTCGTTTACCAGGAAAACTCGCCATAGGGGCGTGTCGTAAAATAGGAGACCCCTCAAATTGTTTTGTTTCACTTGTCCCAAAGAGCACCAGTCCACGTCCACCACCGAGCAGCTCCCTCCGATTCGCACGCGCCTCTTGCAGTGGCATGCGAGCCATGGCCTAAGTAGTGGCCGCCTGTTTCATGCGGAAGGTCAAAACCGGGCCTTCCGTTTTCTGACGCCCTGTCGAAAATAACTTATGATGCTTGACCGCCGTGCATTTGGCTGTGGTTTTGAGAGTGCTCTTTTCAGGCTGGCTCAGAGGGAAACAAAAAGCCACCCCCCAGATTTTCCAGAGTTGTTTGACGCCGGGGCTCGCCTCGCAAACTTCAAACTGGGTGTCTTCCCTTTGCTGTCTCTTCGAAACAGGGAGGAGGAGTACCCCAAACCTCTGACTGACTGGGCTTCTCCCTTCAAGCCCCAAAAAGCAGAAGCTTCCCTGTCCTTGATCTTCAAGGACTCTGGAAAAGCAGGCCTTTGGCCGAATTGCCATCTGGAGCCAAGATCAAAATCAAGAAAAACCCTGGTTTTGCGGGTCCTTGGAAGACCAAGGCAGAGGTGTCCTTAATTGGTTTGGTTGAAAAATAGAGGGCCCTGGTTCAAAGTGGTTCAATCATCCATCTACTTTCCATCGATTTTCCCATAAAGCCCCAACAGGCAACAGCTCCCCCCTGCCAGAAGTCTAAACACAAGTGGTTCAATCAAAAACCTCTAAGTTAAAGTATGAACCTCCCTGGCAAAACGCTACCAAGGCCAAGGTGTGGTTTCCCGCAAAGCCAAAGCTCAGGTGCCCAAAGGACCTGGAAATAAAAGGTTAACCTTTTGGGGCCATGACTTAAAATGGACCAAATCACAGAAAGCAAAAGGTCAAAAGGCCAAAAGCTCGGCTTTGGGCAAGTGAGAAAGCAACCCCAAAAAAAACAACCGCCCCCCCGCCCGGCGTCCGCCGCCCGGCGCCGAGCCGTCGCCCGTCGCCAACCCGCCGCAACTCCGAGGCGCCGCCATCCACCGCACCACGCTGTGCTTTCCGGAGCCCGGCGCGCCCACCAGCAGCACCGGCCTCAGAGCGATCTCTCCGCACGGTTGCTGCAACGACCCCCCGGCAAAAAGTGGACCACTTGTTGGGGGGTTTAGTTTTGAAACTCCCACTTGATTTCAACCAAAAAGTTTTAAAGTCTAAAGATCCAACCCAGTAGCAGTCAAGTCTTTGGGAGGTCCTCAAAACCAAATCCTCATGTGTGGGACTGCCAAATAGCCAGGTCAAAGCCCATGCCGTGGTTGTCAACACCGTTTTGGGATCCCAGTTTGGTTGGTAGGTGAATTCGCCCGTTGATTGTTCGAAACGTAGGTGAATTCGCCCGTTGATTGTTCGAAACCACATCCGGATTGTTGATTCCCAAGGGATTGGTAAGTGTTGGGTTCCATGTTAGACTGCAGATGATTATCGGGGTTGATTCCTTTCCCATTCTTTTCAAGCACCGTTCTTTCCACAAACCGGATCCGTGTTCAACCTGGGTTGGTTTTCGGAAGAAAGAAGGATCCCTGGAAAGGTACCCCTAGAAAAACGGCAGACCCTCCTCCTCAAAAATGAGAGGTCCCCGAAGATAGGAAACCACCAGCAAGGGATGGTTTATGGGCATCTCTTTGGGCTTCTTGTCAAAATGGTAGACCCTCCTCAAAACGGTAGACCCTCTCAAAAATGCTGGAGAGATCTGGGACCCTCTCCACGAAATCCGCCAGTCTCGCACCACCGAAGCCAAAAGAAACCACTTGCTGGTGCGAAAAGCAAAAAAACAACGTTTAGAAAAAGGGGAAACCGCAAATGAGTCATGAACTCAAAACCGGGTACTAAAATGGAAATCCAGAACCATGCTTCAAGAATTAAGAAGGCGGCCGGGTTTATATTGTGGCTCACTTGTTGGTGCTAAAAGCTATAAACCATCCATCCAAGTTGGTTGCCTTTATTCGGGAATCCCCGGGTTCATTGCCTCATTCCCTACTGAACCAGCGAGACCATTCTTTGTTGGTTTTTACGTTGGGGAATC